ATGTCATTCCAAACCTGTATGACTTACTTTCTTCTGTGGAACACAAAAGAAGATATTTTGTAGAATGTGACCAAACCATTTTTTTACCCTTGTATTCTACTGTATGGACAAAAAAATTCTTGTTTTTCTCAATTATCTTCTTTTATTCCACAGAAGAAAGAAATTCATACAGGTTTGTAATGGCATGATGGTGAGGAAATGATGACAGTTTTCACTTTTGGGTGAACTTTAACAGTTGTAAATGGTTAAAACCTAATTTATATGACACTATTTATCTTCAATCAGACTCTTATTGAATTAATGTTTTACTTCAATTAGTTAGAACTAAACATTTAAAGAGAACGAAGCAGTTTAAGCTATTCTGTTGAACTATCCTTTGCCCTGAAGGATATTTGTGTTTTACTTTTTTAAATATTCATTTATTCTTCATTTATTCATTTATAATCATGTATTCATATAATCATTTATAATCCTTAGTCATTAGCAATTTATTATGATAACTGCAAGGGCCAGGCAGAATCTGTGGACTTTTTTGGCGATTTCTGCACAGAATTTTTGGAAAAATCTTTTGGAAAAATGTGCGGAATGTTTTTGAGAGTATATATATCCAGTCCGTGGCCTTCCGGCCGATTGCCACTAGAGATCATTCTACCATTACATTGACTCTCACACTACACAGACTGTTACATGTCACTCCGGACTACAGTTCCCATCATCCATTGCACTTACACAGCTGAATTCACTAATCACACGCTCACCTGAGAGCCATTACACACTCTGTGTTCTGATCACTGCCTGTGTACCTGGATTATCCCTCGAGTCTCGCCCAATTGGATACTGTTCGCCCCTTCCTGGACCTTTGCCTTGTACCTGGATTATCCCTCTTGCCTTGCCATCAATATACCTGTTTGCCATTTTCTGACCTATGCCTGCTTTTGACCACATCTCTGTTAATAAAGCCTTGCAGATGGATCCGCATGCTTCCTGTGTTCCCTCCGTAACAGTATAAGAGTACAGAATACAAAAATATTAACTTATTAACTGTTATTTAAGGTTTACAATACAAATCATATTGGAACAACTGGTTTGTTAAACAAAGCTAGGTCTCTCTTATAGTAAATCCACTAAATGGTGCAGGAAATATTTCTTTATAAATTGTACACAAATCATCAAATAAACATTTGCATATCATCAAAGACTATAGAAATACTCTATCAATAAATAAATATGCATGCATCAATAAATATAAATAGGTACTTTTAACAACTATAAATAAATAAATAACACTGGTGTGGCAATCAATTAAGCACTTCAATAAATGCAGTACATTAGAAAACTAATTTAGTAGTAATTTAGTAGAAAAAAATAGTAATTTACAATCAGTAGTATTTGTGCATCAGAAAAAAAATTATTTACATCAGAAAAACTACTGGATGTGAGTGTAGTTGTATGTGGATGTGAGTTATTCTCTGGTGTTAAATTTGGCAATCAGCATTATTTTAACAGTCTCCTCTGTTAGGCTGCGTCTGTGCTCTATTAGAAGTGCGGAATAGTGAAAAAAAGCCTCTCCACATCCTCTGAAGTAGTAGGGAGATGCAGGTACAGTGCAGCTAGTGGGGCGAGTGTTGACATTTGATCTTCCCTGGCAGCCCACCACTCCATTGTAGAGACGTTACTCAATGCAGGGACAACTTGAACATAATTCTTAATATCAGATTTTAAACCGGATACCTTGGCAGGATAAAAGATTGGGAGGGCTTTGAATAGTTCAGTGCAAGGATGTCTCTCCATCACTGCCTATAGCTTGGTGGAACATTCTGCCATTGCTTCTTTAAACAGCTCTGAACAAGTGTACCTCTCATCGTCATTTAACTTCTTCAGTTGCTCTCTAGTCTTGGGACGCCAATCCTCAGCCTCTGTGGTGCGGCCATACTCAAACAGCATGCTGAGGTCCTCCAGCTGGCTGAAGATGGTGGCAGCTGTGGGTCTGGAGGTTTCTTACAGTTTGGTTAGGGTGGCAAGAATATCAGAGCTGTGCTCCACGATGAAGTGGCCTGGACTTTCAGGAGCTTTCCATTCCCTTCTAACAGAACTCCAAGATCTCGCGCCGCTTTTGAGGTCGGTGGCAGCATTGGGATGAAGCCATGCAAGATATACATTTTTTTGTGCCAGGTATTGCACAGCTTTTATCCAGGATCCTCATCTTGTCTGGACAGCAAACACTGGCATGAGAGGAGAAAGGCCCTTAATTCAACTGGCAGAAAACACGCTTTACCAAAGCACACATCCGAGATGGAGTCTAAGATACACATGAGGCCAATGTCTGTGTTCTGAATTAATACTGTGCAACAGTCTTAGGCCACTAGTATTTTCACTTTTCGCCAAGGCCGATATATCGGCTGATATTTGGCATTTTTCAAATATCGGCATCGGGCCGATAAGTTTTTCTGCTTGGCTGATGTGTTCGAGGCGGAACTTTTATTTTGACGGCGCTGAGAACGGCAGCGCCTGGGCACACAGTGCTCACACTCTCCCTCTTGTTTACTGTCGTTGTTAACAGTTCTGTCTAATATGGATAAGTCTGTTTAATAATCAGATAGAACGGTTAAACAAAGGAATTATTGTATACAAAAAGTATTATAACGATTGCTTTTATATTATTAGTAATAAAAAGGCAAACATTATAATACTTTCTTGTTTGCCGTCAGCATTAAGCAAATACGCATTAATATCATTTAAACAAATCTTTGAATGACTAATGAACATTTAATTTCACAAACCTTGC